TGAACTGTAGCTCCCCAATGCCGGCAGCACTCATGCAGCCCCAGACAATGACACTCCCACCACCATGCTTGACTGTAGGCAAGACACACTTGTCTTTGTACTTCTCACCTGGTTGCCGCCACACACCCTTGACACCATCTGAACCAAATAAGTTTTTCTTGGTCTCATCAGACCACAGGACATGGTTCCAGTAATCCATGTCCTTAGTTTGCTTTTCTTCAGCAAACTGTTTGCAGGCTTTCTTGTGCATCATCTTTAGAAGAGGCTTCCTTCTGGGACGACAGCCATGCAGACCAATTTGATGCAGTGTGCGGCGTATGGTCTGAGCACTGACAGACTGACTCCCCACCCATTCAACCTCTGCAGCAATGCTGGCAGCACCCATACGTCTATTTCCAAAAGACAACCTCTGGATATGACGCAGAGCACGTGCACTCAACTTCTTTGGTCGACCATGGCGAGGCCTGTTCTGAGTGGAACCTGTCCTGTTAAACCGCTGTATGGTCTTGGCCACCATGCTGCAGCTCAGTTTCAGGGTCTTGGCAATCTTCTTATAGCCTAGGCCATCTTTCTGCAGAGCTACAATTCTTTTTTTTAGATCCTCAGAGAGTTCTTTGCCATGAGGTGCCATGTTGAACTTCCAGTGACCAGTATGAGAGCGTGAGAGCGATGACACCAAATTTAACACACCTGCTTCCCGTTGACCTAAGACCTTATAACACTAACGAGTCACATGACACCGGGGAGGGAAAATGGCTAAATGGGCCCAATTGGCACATTTTCACTTATTGGTGTACTCACTTTTGTTGCCAGCGGTTTAGACATTAATGGCTGTGTGTTGAATTATTTTGAGGGGACAGCAAATGTACACAGATATACAAGCTGTATACTCACTACTTTACATTGTAGCAAATTGTAATTTCTTCTGTGTCGTCACATGAAGTGATATAATAAAATATTTACAAAAATCTGAGGGGTGTACTCCCTTCTGTGAGATACTGTATATACAGGTGAAACTTGAATAATTAGAATATCATGCAAAAGTAATTGCAGTAAGTGCTGCAAAAGGGGCCCAAACCAAGTACTGAGTACATATGCATGCTTGTACTTTTCAGAGGTCCGATATTGTTCTATGTACAATCCTTGTTTTGATTGATTGCATGTAATAATCTACTTTTTTTGAGGTTGTGGATTTTGGGTTCTTGGGGCTTTCATGAGCTGTAAGCCATAATCATCACAATTATGACAAATCACGGCTTGAATTATCTTGCTTTGCATGTAATGAGTCTTTCTCATATATTAGTTTCACCTTTTAAGTTGCATTAGTGAAATAAATGAACTTTGCACGATATTCTAATTATTCGAGTTTCACCTGTATATCAGCAGTTCTCAACCTGTGGGTCGCTGGTAGAATTACTATTTGCCAGGGGTCGCCTAGCGGCTCCCGGAAAGGTTTACTCTGCTCAATTGAGCAGAGTAAACCTTTCTCTGATGCTTTCTCTGGTGCTTTCTCTGACCGCTGTCAGTCAGAAAAAGAAAAAAACCCCATAGGAATGCATAGCTAGATTCCTATTTGCTATTTCACTTTGCAATAGCCAATAGCAAACTAGCTATTGCGCCCCCGCCCTCTGCTGCTGCCAATCAGCAGAGGGGGACCTGCGGTTCTCCATCAGGTCCCCTTCTAGTGATTGACAGCAGCAGAGGGTGGGTGCAATAGCTAGTTTTCTATTGGCTATTGCAAAGTGAAATAGCCAATAGGAATCTAGCTATGCATTCCTATGGGTTTTTTTTGTTTTTGTTTTATTCTGATGGCGTACATAACACGGTTATATCTCCCCCCCCCCCTCATGGTGCTCTATTAATGTATTGCTGGGGTAGTGGGATTTGTAGTCCTCTATAACTGATGGTACATTGTGCTGTATATGTAACATCAGCTATAGAGGACTACAAATCCCAGCAATATATTATACACTGTATGTATAATGTACTACTGCTGGCATTTGTTGTGTTCCTATATAGCTGGTGGTATTCTGCATTGTGCCGTATAATCATTATACAGCACACTGCAGAATACCACCAGCTATATAGGACTACAAATCCCAACAATAATAAATTATACGGCGCCATGGAGAATAACACCATCTATAGACAAATACATCAGATCCCAGCAATAATACATTATATACTGTACAGCGCAATACAGAATAACACCAGCTACAGAGGACTACAAATGCCAGCAATAGTACATTATAGCATAATGTACTATTGCTGCGATTTGCTGCATTTCTCTATAGCTGGTGTTATTCTGGTTTGCGCCGTATAATTATACAGCAAACTGCAGAATAACACCAGCTACAGAGGACTACAAATCCCAGCAATAGAACATTATAGTACAATGGACTATTGCTGCGATTTGTTGCATTCCTCTGGGATTCGTGGTCTCCTTCAAGCAGTGGTTCTCAACCTGTGGGTCACTGCGTGATTTCTGCTGTGCTAGGTGAGAGTCCTCTTCAGCCCTCTCCTAGCGCAGTGGTGTCAATTCTCCCACCACACCGCCAGATGTTGCTGCAGCAGCCACGTCATCCCTAAATTTTACCGTTGAGGGTCACCACAACTTGGCAAATGTTACCAAGGGGTCCCGGCCCTAGAAAGGTTGAGAACCACTG